TCGCATCAAGGCTTTTTGCCTCGACGTGACGTACGGAAAGCTGACCAGACATTACTTGGGGCGCAGGATTCGAATATGGAAAGCTCGGGTGAATGGGGATGGTCACACCTCGTCTGGGCCGTACCGTCAGTCAAGCAACGAGAAAGGGCATCGAAGAGGCGCATACCAAGTTACTATCGCACTCCTAGAAGCGGCTTCGGTGACCAGGCTTTTGAGGCACAGGAGGAGCAGTAGCGGCGTCTTCGATCTGCTTTGCACTGTATTGAACACGCAATGTCAGCAAGCATAATGAGAGGACGAGAATCGTGGTGTATTACGTTTTCTAGTGATCGTGCAGGTGCAGGAAATGGTAAATACTAAAAAGTTCAAGAAGGGGTATGATAGACACTAGAGAGTCATGGTTCGACCAGCAGCGCGCATCGCAGTTTCGCTGTGCTGGGGAGACCTAAAGCACAACTACTTGCGCTGACGTTTGTTTGCTGCATTGTGAGGCTGTCCTTTACGTTTCTTCTGGGATGGGAGTTGGGAGGGGTCGCTCTTAGCAGATGATACATACCCGTTGACGTCCTTATCCAGCTGCATGTACTCCTCGGCTGCGTCCTTGCCACCACGATCCATCAAATAAGCCATGTAGTAGTGGGAGAGCTCCATTGAGACGTCTGAGGAGAAGCGTCCCTTGGTGCGCATCAGCTCGTGCACTGCCTTTATGCGGGTATGGCCCTCTTCCTGATCGGGTGAGGGTTGTGCGATCTCGAATTCAAGATATTTGACCCAGAACTCGCGCGAGTCCAGGAATCGCTCGTGCTTGTCCTTGAACACTTGGCGTGCCTCGTCGACGCTGCCCTTGCACTGCCAGAGTATGCGTGCCTGCTCAGCAGCTAGTATGCCACCGATGTGGTTGTTTGAGCGACCGATGTGCTCTTCTAGGAGGCGGACGGCCGCATCGTTGCCTTCGTGGCGTCGCTCTACTCCGGCTAGAGCAATGAGAGTCTCGGTGTTTTCGGGGGCTTCGTCGAGGATGGCCAGGTAGATATCGCGTGCGACAGAAGTACGGCCCAGCTTCTCCTCGAATCGCGCCCAGTTCAGACGTACCTCAGGAGCCGAGATTGGTACGAATATGCAGCTAGCCCTCATGTAGATTATCCTTGTGTTCTCTGCATATTCTTTGCCCTGTGAAAACATCCAGCGGGCGTAACGCAGCCAGAACTCGTCGTAGAGCGCGCAAGCAACGAGGCAGCGCTCGTACAGGAAAGAAGTGCGCTCAAAGTTACCCTGCTTCTCCTCATACTCTAGGTACTTGCGCCAGTTCTCAAGCTCGGCATCTTCGAGCTCTGTGACGTGGAAGTAAGCCCGCTTGATGGTTTGCTCAAAAGTCCAGCGGTTGGTCACCTCCTGCTGTGTCTTTCCATATGCGGTGTAGTAGTGCTCGTGGATCTTGTTGCGCAGCTGCCGTTCGATCTCAAGCGCTGGCTTCTCTGGTTGTCCTTGGTTCTCCAGCTGGATCGCCTTGTTCATCTCCTCGAGGGTATCGGGGTCGACTAGCTCATCGACTGGTCGGCTATTAAGCAGGACGGAGAACTTCTCGAAGTATCGGGCGAATTGGTAGATGGGCAGGTGTAGAACACGGCTGTAAATTTTGGTGACATTGGTTGGCTCGCCGATGCGCTCTTCAAACTCGATGTATTTGTCCCAGAACGGGTGGCTCTGGAAGTCGAGACCAACGAAATGGGCACCGCGCTCGAACAGACTATTAGGTCAGCATGTTGAAAGCAAGTATGGGGAGGGATAGGAGGGGGTGATCTTGCAAAGTAACCTCTCATGCCATCAGAGGACGGCAATGCCATCGACTTCAGAACTCTAGCGTACGATCTCGCTCTTTCGTGGGGCATGTTGTAACGGGGCAGTAAGAGGGTGCATCAAATGGCATGCAACGAAACTGTGTCAGGTCTGCAGGCGCAACGCCAGGCTGCGCCAGACTTGCCGCTGGCTACGGCGAGATTGAGCCTGCGAATCGGGAGGAGGGAAGGGGAGGAAAGGCAAGACTTACTCTCGGATGATGTCGTTGTCGTGCGATGTGTCCATCTTGAAGGTGCAGTAGTTGGCCCACAGGTCGACCGAGGGTGTGATGCACGAGACACCGCGCTCGTAGACCATCTCGGCCGTCTCGGTGCCGCCAATGGAGAACTCGAGGTCTGCATACTTCTTCCAGTATCCGAAGAAGAGCGGGAACTTGGTTAGGAAGCAGTCGTACACGTTGCGCACCAGTTCGATGGCGGATGGGCTGGAGTTGCGGGTGACGCCGCCCTCGAGGTCAGAGGCGCGAGTGACGAGCGCTTCCCATCTCTCAAAGTCGTCTTCGTTCTCTACCTACAGCATGGGTTAGCACGTGGTCGCGGTCAGGTGGGGCAGTACTCACGACCGCGCTGAGAAGCTTGTTGATCTCACCCGCAGCTTCCTCGCCCGTGTAGTGTATCTGGGCAATGCTGCCGCGTCCGGTGGTGAGCATTTTGTCGCGCGTCAATCGGTGCCGGTGGGTTGTGTCTCGTGATCGGGGGTGAGAGGAGTGCGACGGAGGGTGACGGGGAGCTGGACGTGTTGGGGGCTTTGCGACAGTACCGTGGGAGCGTCGAAGTTGCGCCTGAGATCGCGTCGGCAACTTTCGTCAGCGACGCCCTCTAGCGCCTTGGTACGTGCAGCGATCTTCACCTAGTCTGCAGCCACCATGTGCAGTTACGCTGCTGATTTACTCAGTCACCGGCAAGTATATTTGAGGATTGCATCTCCTACACATTGGCCTTTGTCGCTTTCACTCGTTGTTGAGGTGCCCACATCATGTTGAGACATTCACTGTGTACATCACCATGCTGCGTTCACTATATCTTGGCAGTGATGATGATGGGAATATCGCTCTCGATAATTCCAACTAGAATGAATTCTCGCAGCGGCAGAAAGCCACTAAGGTATCACTTTCATAAAGGGCTACATCGACCCTGTGACTAACACAACGCACCCATGCTACATCTTGATGCGCCCGTAGATTCATCCACGACAGTACTCATATGGCACTCTCCTCTTTCAAGAACGGGGCTGTCTCGTTGACCGCAAACGAAAACGGGCTCTTTCCCACCTCCGGGCTTCGTGGACTTATCGGTAGTGCAAACAGCCCGTCGTCCTTGTCGTCTTCATCTGCAGGTCCAGGGGGGTCCCGTGACTGGAACATGGGCGCAGGGCCGGATAGAGCATTCAGTGAACCCATCATGCCAGCGCCTTGCTGCTCTGTAATGAACTGCGGCGGAGCCTGGGGGACGACCTTGCGAGGTGGCGCTGCAGGCTCAGACTGCGGTTGCTGTGGAGGTTTCGCCGCAAGTGCCGACGGGTTGGCTCCCTTGAAGACGGAAAAGGAGCTAATGGCGATGTCTGAGGACTCAGGTGAGAGAGGGTTGGAGAAGCCCGGCGTGCTGCTGCTCGGTGTGAGGTCTCGCTCGCTCGTGCCCAGTCGCAGGCCCGCCAGCTTGTCCATCAGCCTGCCTCCGCCTGGAGATCGTGGGCTAGCTGGACCCTTCATCGGGGCTAACGTCGGCTCCCCCAACGAGATGCTCAGGCCGGCTGGTTTGGCATTGACGCCAAACGTTGATTCGATCCACTCCTTCTCCTGCACCACCATGAGCAGGCCAATGCCCTCGACGTTGTTGCGCGATTCGGCCTCGATCTCTTTCTGCAGGACCTGTAACCGCTTCTTGGCCCAGATGGTGTGCAGCACGCCCTTCTTGCCGGCTGCACGCGCGGAGGCTCCGAGTTCCGGCGGAAACAGGGCGGGCAGAGGGTTGGTGTGCCAGACCACAGGCGATATACTAGCGTCCTGGGGCCGTAGCGTGAGTGTGACGCTGGTGGGCACCGCAACGCCCGGAGGCAGCAGGAAATACATGCGGTTCACGTCGTTGGCAGGCTGGTCGTCGGCCGGCAGCACACGCGTGCTGCCGTCCCACGAGATGTGCCAGTCGCCGCGCACCCCGCGCGTCGTGTCGTCGTCCTCCCACTCTACCATGAGGATCTTGGTGCCCGTCGTGGCATTGGCGTGGCCCGCCTCGTATTCGTAGCGGGCAAGCGCGTTTGTGCTCGAGATGCTCGGCGACTCGACTTCATCCTTCGCTGGCTGCCGCGTGCTGGTGTCGAGCGAGGTGAAGGGAACTGGCGCTGGAGACGCCATGGCAAAGGTGGAGTTCGGATGTCGAGGGCGCGATGCAGGCGGCGCGGTGCAGTACGTCTATACAACTGGGTGGGGGCGGAATACGAGTCTAGGTGTTAATAACGGCCACGGCAAAATGGTAGTCTCTACGGGCCCGCACTCGACGGCGTGCAACGCGATGCAGTCGACAGAGCCTAGATGCTGCCCCCGCAACCTGCTTGCAACTGGGATGGCAAACTCGAAGCGGCCGTTGTGCTGGTCGTCTGTTGCTGTACGCGTCGACTTGCAGCGTCGCAGTCCGCCCCATGTTCTCGCTAAAATTAGAGGCCTCTCTTCAGCAGCAACCCTCTACAGCCAATCACCGTCACATATGCACCAAAGAGGCGTTGTAATCTTGAGCGATACGCTCGTTTCAGCTTCAATTCTCTCCTCCATCCATGGGCGCTCACTCGAGCCCCATCCAACTCTACTATACATGTTGGCGCCTGGGTGCTGCGCTAGCTTCCCATGCACTCCATGTGCCCCTTTCCAAACACGCCCCAGATTCGGCCGTGAAATCGTCACCCGTAAAGTCCCTCCAACGCCTTCCAGTCGATGCTGCTGCGCCCTAGAAATGCTGCATTGCTCCCGTGGAGCCAATGGTATCCAAATTACAAAAAGGGGGTATCGTAGTGAAGAAAATATATGCAAAGAAATAAGCAAAGCGCTTTTGTGGTTGTTGAAAGAGGTACGGCAAGCGACAGACGCAGAGAGAATGTAGTTCGCGAAGAGAAACACCAGACCAGGATGCATACCAGCAGAAGAGCCGGGCTTTTTAGATGAGTAAAAAGTCCCAGTTCTTCTGGCGCATCATGTCCCGCCAGTGGACACTCTGGGTGTTGCCCTTCGCGAGGTTGTCGTCGTTGACCTGCCATACCTCTTCCAAGAGGTTCTTGACTCGTCCGTACGAGCCAAAGTTAGCAGCCTCGCCCAAGAGGGCGGAGCGCTCAGCAAACATGCTGCGGAATCCTGACTGTTGCACCGAGACGGAGCCAGCGACCAAAAGGGGCCATACAAGGGAGCGGTCAAATCCGTCGGGTCCGGCAGGAATGTACTCCATAGCCTTGCAAAGGGCGCTGACCAGGTTGACGAATGTGGCGGATGTGCGGTCGAAGTCTGGCACTAGGCTGCACAAGTAGATCCGGGCGGCTAGACGGTACACTGCCGTCATGTTGCGGCGAAGCTGCCTTGGGAGAATCTCGCCGGTAGATGTGTAGGCGCTGTTGAGCGATCCCTGGGGAGGCTCAGTCAAGCTGATTTGCTCACCGAGGAGCTTGATGTGCGCGCAAAGCTGGACGACATCCATGTTCTCGTTCTTCAGCGCTTCGAGGCAAGCAATCTCCGAGATCAGGTACATGATGCGATCTTCACAGCCCATGAGTTCGGCGAGGCCAGATGATGCGTCAGCGATGAGCTTCTCGCGGTAGGTGTCAGCGAAAGATGGTGTCCTGCCCAGCATGGTAGCGCCGAGGATGTCGATCCAGGAAGCCAGTGTCATGTTGAAGGGAGGCTGAGCGTGTGCTTGTCCGTTCATCGCGATCATCTGCGCGGGAAGCTCGAGCCTGTGAACAAGGTTCTGGACTGCTTCGAAGTGGCCATGCCACGGGATGTCCATCAGGCCATCGTTGAATCGGCCGACTGAGCACTGGAAAAAGATCATACCAAGCGCGGCCTCGAGAGTCTGACCATGCTGGCTGTCGCTGTAGAGCGCCGCAGTGAGCTGCTGAACAGTCTCTCCGCGATGCCGTTGAATGTCTTGGTCGATCTCTTCTCCCACAAGTCCTTGAGTGGTCTTCATGTGTAGCGCAGATATGCTCATGCAGCAGTGTAGGTAAGCCTTGTTAGACTCCAGAGCTGGAATGATCACATCGCGCTGCGCAGCGCCGGGCTGGTTAGTCTCAAGAACCGGGAATGCTGTGGGCATGATGTTGTCGAGAAAGTGGCTGAGAAGATGGCGATCACAGTCTTCGACCTGAATGGAGGGCTGGTGTGATGGGCTGAAAGCACCGTAGGTAGTGTAGTCAAAGATGGGAAATTCGAGGGGCTCCTCAATGTACGATTCGCGGCGCTCGAAGTAATCTTTCTGGATCCAGTCGTCCGTGGGATAGATGTGAGCGGGCGGAGTTTGGTAGTGACTGTAGGATGACAGCGTGGAATCGCGACGAGTTGGAATGTCGTTGATGAACATTTGGCTCTCAGTCTTGATGTCGATGTCGTAAGGTACGTAGTGACCTGGGTGGGTGAAAGTCGGGGCGAACATTGGCGGAGGCATTGACGAGTTGTAGAAGTCGGGTGTGACAGTGGGGTTGAAGTTGTAGTCCAGCGAGTTCTGGGAGTCGACAGATGGCGCGCGAGTGCAGCTGACACCGTCTGAGAAGGTGTCGGCAGTTTGCATGGAATGGCACAGGCTTGGTGGTGTGTTGGTGCCCATTGCGCCGCTCTGTGCTGTCTTCTCATTAAGCTTGGTGCGCTTGATGATGTTCTTGATGACTTCTTTCTGAGTCCGCCTTTGTTCATTGTTGCTCCACCACATTGGCCTCTTGTATTCGCACTTGAGACCAAGGTGTTTGCAGGCGCGGCAAGATGGTTTGCCCTCATCACACTTCTTCCGTCGCAGGCGACATGTGAAGCACCCTGCAGAGCTCCCGTTAGTCAACCGTCCATGCGCAGGATCCCTGCATGTCATCGAAAGGGTGGTCCTTACCTGATCGTGAACGACGGTGCATTTTTGCTGCAGCTTGTTGCTTTGCTGCATTAGCAGCATTTGTAGTCCCTACCATGGTGGAGGACTGTTTGGTAGCGGATGGGGGAGCGGACGAGGAGGACATGGACGCTTGATGTACCCAGAGCGGTGGTATATGAGGAAAGCCAGTAAACAATGCGGCAATAACGACTAACGCGCGACGGGACGATTCGTAAGGGACAGGATGGCAGGGCTCGACCGGGCTGCTCGTAATTAAAGATGGGTATTCAAAGCCTGACCAGCGGGCTTGATGTGAAGGAAGGAGCGGAACCAAATTATGCGGTCTACCTGTTGCGTGGAGAAGTATTAGTGAAGGACATGTACCTTATATCTACCACGAACGGCAGAATGTTCACAAATATTGCTGAATCTATAATTGGAGTCCCTGCTATCAGGCCGGGTGGTCATCCAACGGGAGGGAGATGCGAACGCCATGCAGCACACGCACACGGCACACTGATTGGACGACTAGTCCTGGCGTGCAGCCTGATGTCGACATTTGGGGTCATTCTGTGCTCCCAGCTATTTTGGGGCTCTCTACCCGCCGCGCTAGAGCCAACAGCAGCACTTAGCGCGTATATCTCCACGGCTATCGATCGGCTTACTGGTCCCCGCAACGACTTTAGCAAGTTAAATGACCCATTTAGTACTGGAAGCATATTCCCATGTCGCCTTGAGAGTTTTTGCTGACCGGGGCCGTATGCCTTGATCCCCTCTTGTGCCAACCTCCTTGCGGGGCACTATCGAGGTGCGTCCAAGAGCGGCCTAGGAAGTACATGAAGCGGCTGCGATAAGTGGCCGGCCCGGACGTTACTGGTGGCCTTGTGCAGTGTGCAGATCCCGTACTGCAGTATGCCAAGTATGTAGATGATGGCATAGCATCTGCAAGTCCCATGTACGTGGTGTATTGGTACCTGCCCGCGTGTCGACACCAACAGAGGTACAGCGACTCGTGGTCCCACGAGATGCGGCTGCTACTCGAATCTATTCGCCTGTACTACGTTCAGCCAGAACGTTCGGGCTTTTGCGGGCAGAGTCACGCAGACTCGAGGCGGCCCAATTCGCGTGCACGCTGTCGTGATCATTTCCACAGCGGGACTTGACCAGCTAGTAGCTAGGCGAACGAAAACGTAGACCGCATTGTCGACCAAACACGGCAGGTCGGTTGATGGTGTTTTCCCGAGCTACGCGGTAGAGGACAACCTTGGAAGTAGAGTGGGTGAGCCTTCGAGTAACGCGGCGAGTTAGCATGGTACGACAGGCAGTGGCATCCAGTCAGCGTGCGCTCCCACGCGAAGCAAGTCGCTTGTGCATGTTGACGGGGTTGGAATTTGCAGGACAAGCTTTCTCTAGTGAAGCTGTGTATCCAATGACAGCATCCATCGTCCTAGCTTACACTGCGGGGCAAGCCACCGGCAAGGAAATCTCGGTGGGTGACAGGGAAGGGCCGCTGCTAAGTATAGGCCCTTAATTATGTTGCCGGCTCAAAGTAAATGCCCATAATTAGTCGACCTTCGTCATGCCTGCAAGACAGGTGAAGCGAGACCCGTTCGGGATGTGATACCACCTGCTAGACGTGCGATTGGTTACCGACAATCACAATCAATACTTGGTAGTCCACGAATGGCCCTCTAGCGACTAGGTACCTCTTCGGACGGTTGGGCATGCACGGGATTGCTCACCTGACAATGCGCATTCATGCTTTGGCCGTCATGTTCCCGCTGAAAGCCGCTATCGTTCCCCGGTATCTGGATATGATACTGCCTTCCATGCATCCTGTTGGATTCCTTGGGGTGATGAAGATGAGGCGGATTAGATTGAGATGGCCAATCTGGCCAACGGCACAATTGGACAATTTCATCGCTCGCTTTCGGGCACCACTTGTGGTAGTGGTGATGAAAATCTAACCGGGTCTTGAGCGCCATGCGCAGAGCTTTCGGAGCCGGATGCTCACGAGCAGTTTGTGACTCTTCGTAATGCACGGAAATGTGGGACGGTAGCCGTTCTGCTGGTATTTCACGAACTATGCAGCACGTAGCACAAGAGAAAGAAATTCTGTTCAGCTTGGCGCGGTTCATCGAGGTTGCTGGGGAGCATGCTTGATGCTTGCACAACTTGCGGTCTGGTAGTCTGGTCGTGGGAAGTCGTCTCCGCACGCTGATTCGCCTTTGGCATCCACGCTTCAACGAGGCCATGGTGATAGTGGAACACCAGACTCAAAAGATGCGGCTGGCCGCAGGACCACTCAGTCACGGGGTCGTGGTGAAGGAGCTCTGCGAGCGACCGTTGGTCGGCAAGGTAATGAAGGTCCCATGGCGAGCCGTCGTGGATGGGCTAGGTGCTAGGTGGTGGTGTGCAACGGTCGGAGCGGCGGTCTGGCATGGCATCGCAACGGTAGCAGATAACCGGTGGGCCACTGGGGACGCTTGTGGGATGAGTCAAGGTTCGGGGGATTGTGCTAGCACGCTGATTGTGCTAGCATCCAGGTCGCACGACAACGCAAAAGACATCGAGGTAGGTCCGACGGGCAGGAGAGTGCTCGCACTGCTCGGAAAACGCGACTACAGCGATGACGACAGGCTGGTGTGCTCGAGTCGGCGGCGGCGCGCACGGCTGCAGGCTGCACACAGCCGTCGAGCACGGAACGCATCCGCATGTGATATGGTTGTGCCAATATCGCTTGCTGCATGTCGCTGATGAGGCTGTCGGCTAGCGACCTCAACCAGCCACAGTCCTGGGACCCAGTCGACGCTCCGAACCGAAGCTTCACCGACACCGCGCAGCAGAGGCTCGACGGTCAAGTGACACTCAAAATGACCTGCCATGACTTGGTCGCGGTGGCGGTGGTGATGCGACTGGACGAAAAACATCCCGAGGTACGTACTCTGGGGCTGCGCAGGCACCGCGAAGCAGCCAACAGCACGCGGGCACGGCATGGCCAGCTCAGATCGTCGTCGCATCTGCACTCGACAAGCGGCGACGCGATCCGCTGCCGTCGACCCTGATCCTGAGTGGATCCGTGACGGCCCTGGCCTCTTCATGCGTCTGGCCCGCGCTGCGAGGTATTAATGGCAGTTAATGTCCTTATCCAGCAGAATTAGCCCGCCAGCCAATCTGCAGCCCAGCGAATGGGGGCCGTCTCACGCCCTCTCAACGCTCGAGTCTAAGCGCCAGCCTAACCCTCGACCAGCATGCGGGCGGGAAAGGCCCGGATTCACATTGGCCGAGAAGCGGTGTCGCTCGTCGAGTCGATGGCCTCAGTGGCCGGCTTAAGCAGGCATGCGCTGTCTCGTGCAGCTGCGAAGTGTGATATTGTCGAACCACACTCCCCCACCGTCAACGGCGCCCAAGCAGCCTCTACAAAAGACCCTCAAGCGCTCTCCACCCGAAGGGTCCCTTTCTCCGTTTTCGATCGTTGTGCTGTTACTGTGTGTGTGCCATGCTCGCGACACTCGCCCGGAATAGTTGTTAGCAGCCTCCCGAACAACCAAATTCCCTCCCACAGAGCGTGTACGCTCCAAACCCGTGATCATGGTAAGCCAGACTCACAGTCCTCTTCGTGTGCGGTTCTAACATCCCGATCAGCAGGCCATGACACCCATCACACCTCTGGAGCCGGGCGTGGAAATGTTCGAACGAGGAAAGACACAGTCGTTCTTTTCCAATGCTCTAACGGCCCGCTCATCGCTAGAGCGCCCGGTTTCTCACATCAGTGTCGCATACACCGATATCGAGGATGATTCTAGCGAATTCGAGGAGTTCAGTGGCTCATCTGTATGTATATTCTGGCCCCCCACCATATGCGGCACTGACTTTCCAAAGAGCGACAACAGGCGAAGTCAAACAACGATTTCTACCTTTGAGGAAGTACAGACACCTGCGGAAGAAGTACGACCACAGTTCGCTTATTGGCCAGAACGGAAGTCAGTAGAAGGCCCCAGAGGACCACACCTCTTCCGCGCCTCAGTGTCATCCAGCGACTTTCCGTTTGACGAGGGCCAAGTAATGCAGATGTCGCCTCTCCTGCCAAAAGAAACCCCACTTCGTCTTCCAACCTCCTTCCGAGAGGCCACTCCCGAAACCATTGTCCCCCAGAGAGAGTACAACAATATCGCTCTCGCCGTTGCCCACTTGGACAACGCTGAAGTGCGCGCCTGGACTTCCAAAGACGTTGCTACCTGGATGTATCAGAACGGATTTGAAGACGACGTAATTGACAAGTTCATGGAGCACGACATCTCCGGTGCGGTACTCCTGGATCTGCAGTTCGACGACCTGAAGGAGTTGGAGATTCAGTCCTTTGGCAAGAGACACCAACTGTGGAACCAGATCGATTCCCTGCGCACTGCCGACGGGCTGATGTCGCCAACTGCCCCAGCAGCCATCCCGACTCCTTTCGAAGACATTGAACGACCATGCACAGAGGCACGAAACAGGTCCAAGAGCAAGGGCCGGAAAGCTAGTCGACGCGACAAGTTGCGAGGGAACCACATGACAGACGATGTCATCACACCTGCGCATTCCGTCTCCATTGTAGCGATTGAACAGCTGCTTCCCAAGCCACACGTGTGCGCAAAGGGTGAACGATGCGCCAAATGGAGGAAGCAACAACGGCAACTTGCCAGACTTCAACAGGAACACGGCTTCCCGATCTCGCCCGAGAAAGGTGGTCATATCTTCATCGCGGGTGATCCAGGCAACCCCCAAACAGCGTCCCACGCTGTCGAGAACGTCCACCGCCCGAACTCAGAAGCTACCCCTTCTGTTGTGGTGCCCTCTGTCGTAGCATCGTCCGACGTCCTCGGGCCTGGCCAGCTACCTGATTTCAGTCTTCAAGACCTAGAGAAGTTCGAGCAACGCGACCCGCAAGACAATGTGCGACAGTTCCTCACCCTACAAGGCCAGCAGCAGCCCTTTGTCAGCGCTACTCCCATCGAGGCTCCTCCAACCCCGCCTACAGAATCATACCCACCTCGTCCCTTCTTGGTGATACCACAGCAATCGCACTACCCGCAGGTTTCAGCCTTTTCTGCATCT